GAGAGAGAGAGAGAGAGATTGGATGAATAAAGGGAAGAATGGTAAAACTAAGAGCGTGTATACTCTGTTGCCAATCTCTCCCCGACACCCTATATCCTATGGGGGACATAGCCACCCCGTTCGCCCCATAATCGTTTCTCTCGTTCCGCACACTCTCAACAGTGAATGAGAAAAGAACAAGGACTTCGTTTTGAGTGGAAGAGAAAAAAGGAACGTGAAAAACGAAAGATGAAAATGAAAATACGAGAGAGAGATACGTGTGTATGAACGAAAGCGGGAAAAAGAAGAGATATGATGTGCTTTACGGGGAGATGAAAAAAAAGAAAGAGAGAGAGAGAGAGAAAGAGAAGAAATAAAAAGAACCGAGGGAATGGTCAGAAGTAAAGGTGGCGCGTGAAATGAAAATAGAAAAGAGATAGTGCTTAAGATAGTTCCAAGAGAAAAAGAACGATAGAAGTAATAGATGAAAGGTAATGAAGATCGGCGAAGAAAAAAAGAAGCAGGCAAAAAAAAGAAAAAGAGGTGAGACGAAATTGGTAGAAACAGCGTAGATACGAAGAAAAAAACTATTCATGGGCGAGATGTGAATAGAAGAAAAATAGAATCAACGAAGATCAGAGAAGCAACGTTGGAGAAGAGGAGACGAATAAGCGATGAAGTAAAAGAAAAAGAGGTAACGAAAGTGAGAAAAAGAGAAAAAGAAAGAAAAGACAAAAGAAAGACAAAAGAATATGATATAGAGCAAGCACAGGTGAAATTAACACAGATAAAGAAAGGATGAAACAGTTAAACTAGAAAGGATAAAGTGAAAGGCAGAGGGACAGACAAAGAGAGAGATAGAGTTAGAGCGAAATATAGAGAGAAAAATAGTGTCGGTTGAAGAAAGACGGAGTAAGGGAATAAGCAGAATAAGAGCAAGGCTATAGCTACTGGCGTCCCGACCCGAACTCTCATCCTCCGTTGCCCCATTCCTGTCTCCACCTCCCTAAACTCTCCCCTTTCCGCGCTACCTCATCTCGAGCGTTCCCTCAATCCCCCTGGTGCCGCTTCCACCCTCGCCCACCATAGCACAACTACCCACCTATCCAGCCCACCGACCAACCATACCACACAGTAACACCCCGACCGACAGATCAATACTTACCAACTACCAAGCTGCTCCCAGATTATCATTCTATCCGTCCACTTTGAACGGCCCCGAAAATCGAGTGGACATACCGGTCCGTATGGATCCTCTTTCTCTCTCTCTCTCTCTCTCTTTTATATATATATATATATATATATCTCTTTCTAGTCCACTTTCAATTGATTTTTTTCCTCAATTCGTTAAAATGTGTTGAAAAGAAATGCTATTAAATGGAAACTGCGATTAGAACATTCAGTCATTTTATCTATAGACTATACAGAGTTCTGTAACCATTCTCTCTATCGTTGCTCGATTAATGCGGCCAAGAATTTAGTTTCGACGTTCAGTTTCCAGATATTGACGAAGTGGCTTACACACCTCTCTCTTTCACTCTGAATATACTCTATATATACTAAGTCTTGTCCAAGTGTAATTCGCCGCAATGGCTCATTGAACTTCTGATTGAACTCAGGGTTCCATTTAACGTTTAAGCATTTTCTGATTTTGATATCAGGATGCTTTTGATGAATTGATCGATAATTAATAAATTTACGTGCAAGATTAAAATAATAAGATGATTTCTTCATTGCTAAATAGTATTTAGCAATGATAAAAATGTCCATTCTTGAGATTTGATAGACCGATTTTAATATATAAATCCTTTGAATAAAATTATTTCTTCTTTATTTTTTTTTTTTTTTACGTTTTGAGCGAGAATCTTCAAGTTAATGAATGTAAATAAGAGTGAGACAAAGAATGGCCAAGAATTATTGCAAAAGGAAGAGAAGTTTTGAAGTATTTATTGCTCTTTTTTCGCATCTCTGTATTTCGATCCAATTGTCTGCTTTTTCGTAATGAGTCAGCAATTTTTCAAAGCAGAACGACCTTATGATCGCATACGCGTTACGTCAAATTAAAGAGCAACAGGTGTCTCTGCTGATCATTGAATGTATTCCGTATTAAAATAGCGTTATGATATGATGAACACTGTGACAACATTCCTTTCCTTTTGAACTGAATATTATTACGAAAAATACGACAGTCAAACAATGAAAGAATGAGATTGATAAATGTTGAGATAAATGTTGATTGATTTGAATGAATTGTTAGAAATTTTTCTGGATTCCCGATCAGATGATTTGAAAATATATTATGATTAAAAAAAAATGTTAAAAAATTATAGCAAAGTATAAAATTTATTTCCTCTTTTATATGAAATGTCTTCCTTCTATTTGAATGAAACATTCACATATATAAATTATGAACCGATACATGTATATTTTCAAATATTTCTATTTCATTTCATATATATATATATATATATATATATATTTACTTATTATTTATTATGAATAACTTATTATTTATTATGAATAAATAAATTTATTAAATATTTCTACAAAGAAGTATAAAAATACGTATTTATACAGAATATTAATATATTCATGAAATACTTTAAAGAATCGATTTTAAAGAATAAATATAAAAATAAATATCAATTAAATATATAATTTAATTATAAACAACTTATAAATAATTAATTTAACTCATAAACAATTTATATTAGACGAAGCGAAACAAGAATAAAATGAGACGATGCGCTGAGAGATATAATTGTTTTGCTTTATTTCTATATTGCTTTACTTAATACAAACTTTAATCGCATATTACATAAATCTCATTTTTGTATACCAACTTTTATATTTGTTTTGGCTTTTAGAATTTTTAGACTCACCAATAGTTTCCATGAATATATTAAGATCTTATATATTTATTACATTTTTTAAAATTATTCTTACTAAATGTTAAGTAAATATTTAGATAAATGTCTAAATCTTTAAAATTTTAATCCAAAATATCAATATATATAATATATATAATATAATAAAAATATATATAATGTAAAAAAAATATTCTGTTTTCAAAAAAGAATGATAAATACAGACACATTATTTTTAAGAAGACTTGAAAAGTTTATACCAAAAATGATTCTTGTCCAATTATAGATATATTGATTCTTGTCAATTATAGAATTCATAACTTGATTGTAATATGAAAACTTTTATCTTTAATTATTCACAATATTACAATTGTTTTACAATTATAAATTAATTTTTTATTCTAAGATTTTTTAATTATAATATAATTAAAAAAAAAAGAAAAAATTAAGAATAGAAACAAAAGAATGAAAAAAGTACTATCATTTTTGATTATCATTTGATTGAAAAAGTGAAAAAATAATGTTTTCTCAATTGACCTTTCGAGACAAAAAATTCACACGTGGGCCGCAAAAATACTCTATTAGGCTGACCTTAAGCATCCTGAACAAGGACGGTCGTTGCACAAAAGAGCTAAGCGATACGTCACCGACGACCGTGGCAACGTCATGAGGGCGCCTCCGGTGACGTCAGTGGCGTGCTAAATGAAATTAGATTCGCAAGGGTTTATTTGCGGCCTACGCATTTTCTGTCCCTGCAGTGCAAGTGAAATGTCAAATTGTACTGTTCCGAATGTGACTACTTACGATATCTCACATATTCTGAACGAAAATCGATGACCTTTGAATCAAAGCTTCGAATGAATTTCAAGCAATGTTTATATTATTTATAATAAACGTCACATTTAGATATAATTGATGTATCTCGTGGGATTTGATATTATTTGGAATTTATTAATCACTTAAATATATTTTCAATTTTGTAGGAAATTATATAAAAATATAAAGTATAATATGAAATTTTTTAAAAATATTTTTAAAAATGTTTCTTTTATATATGGTTTTATATAAATATATATAAAATATACTTATAATATAATATAAATATATAAAATATAATATATATATAAAATATATATATATATATAAAATGATATAATAAATAAAATTATTTTAATAAAATAATTTCTTATAATCATATAAATTAAAAATATATAAAATTCAGATATATTTTGATAAAAATAGATTAGTAAAAAAATAGTAGAAAATATTTTCTATTATTATTTATTGTAATATATTTATTTATTAGAAGTGTGTATATATTTCACATACCTGAATGGTTATATATTAATATCAATAATTAATGATGATTTAAAGATTAAATAATTTTAAAAATTATACTGACTATTTTTGACAAAATATTATAATTAATGAAGTATTAAGAATTAATTTGAAAAATGATATCACTAAAGGCATAATAATAATTAAAATCATATTGCTACTGTTTCTTTCAAATATATTATGTTTGATTAAACATCATTTTGATTAAATTAAAATTGAATTTAGATTGTAATTTATATATAAATAAGGAGTAAGATATTTCTAAATCTATTATAAGAAATAAAGGAGTAAGATATTTCTAAAAATAATGATTTAATTATAACTTTAAATGAAATTAAAATATTTTTAAAAATACTTCTACATAATATAATAAACAATAACGGGAAGTAAAATTTTAAATTTTAATTAACTTATTAATATATAAATTAAACTTATTAATATTAATTTATTATTCATAAAAGATTTTACAGCGAACTCATACAATGTTATATATGTTATAAAACACAAACATCGATTTTCAAAGTATTGATTTCTAACACCAAGCCAAGTTTTCTTATTCATTATTTACAAAAATCTTTCAATTTCTATTATACTTATTTTTAATATATATACATATTTATATATCACAAGAATTTGTACTTTTTTCTTTTTTCTTAATGTCAATGTGCGAGAACAAGTTATGTGCAAAATTGTCTTTAGAATATTTGTGTTACCGTTCTGTTCTAGTCTTACATTGAAGCTAAAGCGCGGAATCAGAAGCGTGGCAGGGAAATGAACTGTTATTATCAACACTGTCTGCGTTTAATCGTAACTTACAACGTCTGCATACTTCTCGTGGCGGCGAAAGGACGATAGGACAACTCGAGGTCGTGGCATGCGCCACGATAGGCTGGCAGCCACTGTGTGTGCATACACAGAGTAACCATCGCATATATATATATATACTTCTGTATTGGCCAAGCATTGCATAGCAGAGATCCGAGAAACAAGTGAATAAGAAAAGGAAACAAAGAGACCTATAGGGAAAAAGAGAGAAGACATGGATGGAAAAAACGCGAAAAGAAAGGAGACTACGAAAGGTGAACGGTAAAGAGCATCAGGGAGAAAAAAAACGACGAGATAATGCACGAAAAGAAGAAAGAAGACAAAGAAGAAGGAAAAGAAACAAGAGAAAAGAAGATAATAAGAGAAAAGGAAATGAGAAGAACTGGAATGAAGAGAGGAATGGGAGAAAAAGACAAGTTTATAAAGAGAAGCGGAAGAAAAAGATACAAGAATGAGTCGAAAAGAGATGACCATGAGAGAGAGGGAAAAATAAAAAAGAAAAGAAAAGGGAGAAAAGAGTTCTTTTCGATAGCAAGGCGTTCGGTGTTGCAAGCAGCGGCGGCATAAATCGGTCGAAGGGAAAACTTTTTGGGCGCAGAGTTACCAGTCGGTATCTTCTCTTCTCACGTATATATACGTATACACATATATGTATGCGGTTTTATCTGGCGGTACTCGGGGATGTTGCGGGTTGATTTATCGCCTGTCGTTGCCATGGAAACCTCGGCGTGACCGGCTTGCGCGACACCCTCATATTCGAGTCGACTCTCTGCTTTATCCTCTCTTCCTCCCTTCCACTCTCATCCTACCTTTTCTCATCCTCTTGTATGCTTACTGTCTTTCTCTGTCTTTCTTTTCAACGATTCATATAGTCTTTATTTATACCTTTTTCTTTTAAAATTCGTCCGTTTCTGTCTTGTTCATTTCCAGCATTCTTATCTATTCAAGCTATATCTCTCTGATTATTTATTTTTCTTATTTTTTTATTGTATTTCTTTTATCACTTTCTCTCTCGCTTTCTCTTTCTTCGAAATATATATATATATATATATATATATATATATATATATTCTATATCTTTCCTTTATTACATTCTGGCTCTATTTGTCTTTACATCGTATTATTGTTTCTATTGTCTTCTTCTTTTGTCTTCATTTTTGTTCATTCTTTTCCATGTTTCTCACTTTCTATCTCAATATTTTCCTTTCTCGCTTCCATCATTAACCACATATTCACTTGTCTCTTTCTCTCTCTCTCTCTCTCACACACACATACATACGCATTCACTCACTCTTTGCTCTTCTTTCTCTCTGTCTTTTTTCTCTTTTCCTAGATACAAGTTTTCTATTTCTCTATCGTTCATATATTTTTCTCTCGTTGTTGTTTCCTTCCTTTTTCTATGTATAGTCTTTCTTTCCACATTCTACTACTATCTTGTATCTTGTATTCCCCAACTCTTGTCTTTCTCTCCTTCCTTCATCCTTCTTTCTCCCTCCCAATACACCGATGGTTTCGCTCACCCACACCTCGACAACCCCACTCCTTCGGCCTCTAACCTCCCCGACCGCCCTTTTCCACGCTCCTTGCTCACGTACATACGTCTGTGTCTCTTTTCCTTCATGCACCCCCTCAAACCACTTAGCCATCCGACCAACCACCCATCTGCCTATCTACCAACTCACCCATCCTCCTTTCACCCACTCTCATCTTCCCTTCGATATGTACCCCACGCTACTATCAGCTTTTACTCCCACGCGCGAGCTTGAAACCCCCCAGAGGAACGTCAAGGAGGCGACTACCAGAGAAGTTCTCTTTGCAAAGAACGAGAACTCCGCCACCTCCTCATCTCCACCGCCACTCGCGCCAGCAACAACCCCTCGTCGCTTTTACCTCTCTCCATCCACGCCATCCGCTCCGCCAATCGAGTGTCGACTGGCTGCTGGCTGGTGCACATTTGCGCTACTGGGCTTGATCGTTCCATCGTGATCTAGATAAAGAGCGTTATCTAACCATGCGGCTAATTAACCGGCTCCTTGTCTAGTTACTAGAAGAATTTTTCTTTCTTTATCTTCAAAAAGCAATTGCTAATCAATCTTGAGAATGTGATTTTTCCTGATTTTACAAAATTATCAATTTTACTGGAATTTCTTGGGAAATGAGATATATTTTGTTATCGACAGAGTTAATAAACTTGAAACAATGAAATGAAATCTCTTTCTAAGTTAGAATAAAAATAAAAAAAAAAGTATGAAAATCTTTACTTAAAAAATTAAAATAATTTTTTCTTATTGAAATTTTAAAAGGAAATTTTATTATGTTGAGTTATCGGTTGCAGGTAATTTTCAATAATTTAAAATATTTTATCTTTAGCATTAAAATCTTAGTTAAATGAAAAAAAAAAAAATTCTCTAGATAATAAAAAATTGAAATCCAAATTGACCAATAATTTTGCTATATATATATGATAAAATTATAATATAATAATTATTTATTTGATTATCATCTGATTATTTTTTTATCTAAAATCAGAAGTTTAAATCAATCATTAATTAATTCTTATTATAAATATAAAATAAGTGTAACTCTAATTGCGTGACATATGTGGATTTTATTCAACTGAAAATTATAAAATTTCTATGATTAAATTACTTTTCTAAAAAACAAATTTCATAATGATTTTAATTATTTTTACAAATAATATTTCTTTTTAGCTAACTTTAAAATTATGTAAAAAACAGCTAATTTTTGGATTATGAAATTATTCCACATCTCTATTGTTAATTTTTTTCATATATTTGCAAAAAATTGATATCAATCAGTAGAAATTTGTTTTCATTCTTTTTTTCATTTTTTGTTTAAATTTGTATTAATATAAAATAATATTTATTGCTTTATTTATACATGATTGAATTTTTTTGATTTTGTAAAATTTATATTTTAAACATTCGATTAATGCAATTAAAATTGAACTAAATATAAATATTTTGAAATTTTTATTCTATATTAATATTTTTATATTAAATTCCTATAATTATAATATTTCTATAATTATAATATTCTATTCTATATATATTTCTTGTATCTTTGCTATATTTATTTAATAATAAAATTAAATTAAATATGCGTTAAAATATATAATATGCAATAATAAAATAATAGAAAATTCATATTTACTTACTTTTATTATATAAATATGATTAAAGCAAAATTTTAATATGATTAAAAATTATTTATAATATAATAATAATTATAATATATATAAGAGGTATGTTTTATTATCGACACTTGATAAAGAAGTAATATTAAGATATTCCACATCTTACATTATCATAACTAATATTTTTTATTATTTATATTTTTTAACATAAATATATTACAATATGTTATAATTTTATGTTCTATTCAAAATTAATATATTGAATATAGAATCTATATAAGTTGTAATTCTTAAGCGTATGAACCTTATGTCGGTACATGGAGTTATCTATGTGGATTTGGATTTCTGTTATTAAAATTTAGAAAAGTAAAATAAGTATTATTTTTTTATTTAAGGAATATAATTAACAAATAAAATTGAGAATTCAATACATATAACGAGAAACTTATATTTTAAATCTTATATTTTTTCCTTAGATTTTAAAATAATATGTAGAATTTCTAATGTGAAAAACTATAAATGTTTCAACAATAAAATGAAATAGAAAATTACCAAATATAATTATTAAGATTGATATAATAAAGTATAATAATATTGAATCAAGAAAACGATAGGATATATAAGATCAGAGTGATAGATTGAGACAAAGAGAATATTCCCGAATCAGTCTCATTGTTATCGACCCGTTGGTATTCCTTGGCGTCATTGGTAGCACGATCACGTGGTCTCTATCGTTTTCCAACCACTCAGCTCTTTCGTACAATGCACACCATTGACGTAACTTTAAACAATCCTGCGTGAAAGGTCATAAGCGCAATCATAGTATAATTAATCTTTTATATCTTGTCATGTATATGTTATGTCATCTTAAATCTTTCATATTTATTTTTTATGGTGTGCAAAAATTATTCTTTTGATCAACACGCAAAATTCATAAAAAATAATATTTAAAAAAATAATTGTCTTTTTTCATATCTATAATAATTAATTTTTTAGAAATAATCACTTTCAATAATAAAAAGAAAACTTCTATAATTTTCTTTTCTTTTTTCTTTTTAATTAAGGATGTATAATTTGGAAATTTATTTTCGTTGTATATATTTTATATATGTATTATCGTTTGAATTTATTACATATATATAATTTATTTTCGTTACAAATATAACTTAAAATGATTTTAAAATATACAATATTTTGGATATTGTATTTTTTAGCAATGCTTATTAGCACTAAGAAATTTAAATCATTTAATTTATAGCATATGATTTAAAAATATTTTATTAATATTTCCTATATTTTCTTTTCGCGTACAATTTAATTAACTCAGACAATAGAGAATTATCAAGTCATATTGTGGGTGCAGATGTAAAGCAAGTTGCATATAATTAAGCATGATATAAAAAATATCATATCAAAAGCATGATATTTCTGCTTTTGATATGATAATTAACAAAGTGACTGATTCAAGTTTTATGGTATGGTTCAGAAATATAATGGGTTTCAATTTAGTTCGTCATTAACATGCAACTCATTGATAACTCTCTTTTTCTTATTCTTCGGTCACGCACGCAATATTTCATTTACATATAGGTGGAAACAAACAATGATTCGTAAAAATATTATCATAATTATGAGAAATATAATATAATAGTAAAATACTTATTTATAACTGAAGTTAGATATATATATTTTTTTATCATATATATCAATAAAAAATCAATTTCAATTATTTGAATGAATTTTCTCTGAAACAATATTGATTTTTATTTATAACTACAATAATAAGGACTTATTCTTTAATTTTGCATGAATTATTTCGCACGTATATGGAATAATGCATTACGATAAGAATACATGTTATCTGTCAGTTATCTGAAACGACTATGTGAATTTCAAGAAAATATTATAAAAAATTATGAAAGAATAGGTCAAACTTGAATATTTTATAGTATCGTCTACAGAATATAGTATATAAGTCGAAAGTAAAATTCTC